TTAACTAAAAGCATTGTATGTCCTTGGTGGCGTCTAATTCGATACAGGTTTATAAAAGGATATCCTTTATGTTCAATCAAAATAATAATATATTTTCATGCACTGATTATTTCGTCGATTGAATTTGTGAAAGGAATTGTAGTGAAGATCTTCAAATCGTGAGGTGATGAAAATGCCAAAAAGGGATGAACTTCAGAAGATATTGGCAAGAACGGGAATAACAAGATGTTGATTAATTCTATTCTAGATTTTACTAAGGGCAGTGTACAAAAGAGATCAAGGGATAACTCTGCATGAACAAGCTGACTTTTTTTTTTAATTTTATTGTCCTCCGCTTAAAGCAGATTTTAGCCTCCTACATTATTCATATTATTTTTCAGCATATTCTATACAATTCCTTCGTATATATTTCTTATACATATATTATATATACTATCTCTTCTTCGGAATCCTAATCTTCCAATAAATTTTCTTTCAACGGAATTTCATTCTTTCTTATTTCTCATATGGTTCTTCTTATCGTCTAAAACTAAACTGTGTTTTCCTTCTTACTTCCAATACATTTTTTTTTCTTGTATTCTATAAATTAGCAATTTTTATCTAATTTAATACTTTATATTTAATTCTGGAGATTCGTACGAATCCTCCAGCGTGTAGTCGAGGAACGCTACTGAGTGAGCTATTACCGCCACAAGCTGAACTTCAACATGTAAGGAGACTGACAAAAATGCTATAATTTGGTCATGTCTCTTTACAAATCAGAACAATAAATCATATGGAAGGCCACGAAAAATTTGGTTTTAGCTGCCAGGTGTTAGTGTTGAAGAGAATTGAAGAACTACATTTGGCATAAAGGTAACATATGAAGAGATACTGCTGAGAGTCGGGTAAGAGACGATTTTACTTAACAAAAACTTTTAAATTTAAAACGAAAATGTTTTGAGACCATATGGTAAAAATTCAATATCAGAACAAAATATCTAGATTATTGGACGTCTGCTAAAATTATAAATATATAATTTTGAAGTTTGTGACCTAGGACACAAAAATCATTAAATGAATTCCATAGACTATAGTACTTTGCCCTTAGCAGATATTGCTTCTTCAATAATGAATTATTTTATTATCACATTACATCGTAAAAGAAAAGTTTTGTTTCAATGAATGTATTTATACGTTTCAGTTCGATATATAACCCGTACATTACTGATTGATTTTTCTGCGTTTATTCTCAGAATCCATTGCATTGATTTGATGCAATTTTTATTACAAGTGCTGAAATTTCTATACAGTTACCATTTGCAATAAAATTTATACTTCACGAAATATTTAAAAAAATATATGACGGAACATAAAATGACGTGTTTCATTACAAACCTTCAAGTTGATCTTGAAAATTAGAAGAAAATATTAAATTATTAAGTGGTAAAACTTCAAAGTGTATACACATTCAAAATAATCGTAAATCACATCAATTCGTAAGTGAGCTTCAATCAATTTGTAAGTTATTGATGATATTAATAACATTTTTCTGTCGGGTATAACCGCACGATGATCATTTATAATATTGAAATTCGTATCACGTCTACTTGTACATGGTTTCGATGGAAACGGAAAAAGGTATAATTTTTCATCAAGGGTTTCATAAAGAATGAGGTATATATCGAAATATCTTAAGGAATATGACTATTATTTATCATACATATGGTAACTTTTTTGCAATAAGAGCGATATTTGGAAAATATCCACAAAAAGATCAACAGTATTTTACACAATATATCTGTGATTTAATTGTCCATTGGATTTTTTAAGGCAATCTGTAATAGTCCACCTATATCTACATAGGCTTGAAGTGTGTAAATTATTTAATATTTAGGTAATAATACATGTTGCTTTAAAATTATAATTTATGTTCATTCATGAACTTATATTAGGCTCATCCGTGGATTAGTAGTCAGAGCTAATGAATTTCAGCCTGATGACACATTGTAGTGACATTTTCAATTAGAAACGTGACCGCGTAATTTTAAAGGGATTTTACAAAATAATAGCTACATTATTCAACCAATTAAAATATAAATTTCATGGATGCGTTCTTATTCATATACTTCACCAGAGTTGCGATAACTATTTATTTAATTATTTCTTCTAACTAAATTGACTTTTTTTTAATACTATTTGTTATTTTTACACCTTTTTCTGGGTAAATATTTAATAGGTTCTTTTCATCATACCCAGGACTCAGGGTGTAAGTTTTTATAGAGATTATATAAAAGAACTGCCAAATCTAACTTAAAATTAATAATAAATCTTATAAAACAATTACATAACTTATACCTAAAATTTATATCAATGTCCACAAGTACAAGGAAAGAAAATACTTTTGTTATGCATTTTCAAAAATTGCTGATTTTTCTACCGATAGCATTCAAATGTTGTTAAAAAAAAATTTTAACTTTACTGGTTTTTGAGATATCGGTGGTGGACGTTTTTACCCGCAACCTTAAGCCCCACTTTGCCATAATTAACACAGTATTTATATCTTGCCCTGAATTCAATTAATAAATTTTAGTTTCTGGAAAGTAATGAATAAAATATTCACGATCCCACTAAATCATTCTAAATTACCGTCCCTCAAGCCCTGGAACACGATGTACTGCTTGTCGTTATTTTTTACAATATCTTTTCTGTCTAATAAACTTTTATGAGAGCATTACGCGTATCCCGAACACGAGCAAATTGATTTTATAAATTAATTTAATTCAATCTCGTACACACGATGTCGTATTTTTGTGCTTTTTGCAAACTGCATTTGCATACGGGGGCATTATATGAGGCACAGATAGTTGGAATCTGCTATCATTACGAAGCCGCCGAGGGTAACGCGCGCTTATGTGAAATTGTGGGAGATGAGGTCCCACGATGCCGACATCTAAACATTTACCTTGAGGCTTCCAGGGGTTTTTGCTTTATTTTTCAAAATGCCGATGTGTAATTCATCATTAAGATGCTTTCAATAAATTACAAGTAAAAGTTTTCTGAACGAGTTGATTATATCAGTTGAGTTGGTTGATGGTTCAATCTAATTGGTTTGTGATAGTGGAGGGAATTGATTTTCATATAAATATTATTATAAAATAGAAGACTGATTTCCAAACTTTTTCAACTATAAAATAACAATATGATATCTTCATAAATCATTTCATAATATCAATGTTTGTTTCATAATATTTTACTTAGTATTGATTTTTCGAGTTTTTTCTTGATTACATATAAATTTAACATTATAATGTAAATAACATTATAAGTATCATTTCAAAAGTGGACCTTAGTCAGAGGTCCCGGGTTCTATGCCGCTTCGAGGAGCCTCATGTTAAAAAGTGACATCCATTTTCACTTGGAAACATAATTAGCAATATGTTTCCAAGTGAAAATAGCCATTATCCGGAATTTAAGAAATATTTAGTTAAACCAAAGTAGTATTAATTCAAAGTAGCCCCATATCTGTCAAAATTTTACTTTTTAATTTTATTAAAAATTATTTAAGATTCTAATAATTTTGATACTTTTCGCTTGTAAAAATTTGCTCTAAATGTCAGTTAATTTTTTTTTCTCTAGTGAGATCTTCTTAGTTTAACAATTAAAAAGATAATGTTATTTTGAAGCTAATATAAGACTAAATCTAAAGGCCATTGACGTTTCAA